TCTTTTTCTTGGTCTTCCCCTTCCTCTGTTTTCTGAAACCTTTCTTTGGATAACAATTTTATCCAGAGATTCTGTGTTTTTGTGAGCCAAAACAAGTGTGCTTTGTGATCTAATTAAATCTATAAAGAAATAGTTCTTTATCTTTAGCTTTTTCAAGATCCTCTGGTTGCATTATTAAGAATTATGTTTCTACGTTTTCGTTTCTTTTTCATTTTCTTTCAGATCCCAACAGTCGTCTGTACCTTGAGTGCCATAGAAATCTCGCCCTTCCTTGAGATGCAACCATAGTTCTCAACACTACACTCAACCATTCACCTAAGAAACACGATTCTGCAGACGGGATGAGTAATTTTTTAGACTCGCATGGAGACGTCCAGACAGCTGGGAGATGTAACCAAGAAGCTTTTACTGAAATATGGGGGCAGGGTGGTGTCGCTGTCTCAAAATGAGCAATTTGTTGGCAAGGCTACTGTAAGTAGGTACCACAAGCGAAATTTTTTAAAAACAATATTGACGTTTAAACCTCAGGGGTTCAAATCTACTCTATGAAACAAGAACATTAAAAAAAGAATTACCAAAATCCATCAATAAACAATCGAGATATGGTATTTCAAAGTTTTATTTTTGAACAAAACCTTTTCAACTGCGACTCTCACCCATGTTTGAGGTGTTCTAAAATACAAAGTGCATGATCAAATCAATGAAAACTTTGTTTTCCCCAGAGCTGTCAACACAAATATTGATATCTCTAAATCAAAGCATGCTAGAATGACTGGTTTCCAAGATATAGGCCTTCAAAAATTGAAAAAAAATGCCAAAATGTGTCATTAAGAGCTCAGAACCCTATTTCAACCTCTTCCAAATTAGTCAAAACTGCCTCCTCATTAGTGAAAATCAAACAATCATTACAAATACATGCAAAGACTTAGCTGAATTTTTTTCAGACCTCTCTGACAATAAGTAACTTTTCTGGACTCCTCTGAAGTGGGCTTCGGTGCAAAAAACGCTTCTTGGAAAAAAATTTGGGGAACTCTGGTACATCCTCGGGCAAAAAGCATCACAACAAGTGAACAAATTAAGCTACAGGGCTAAATCATACATCAAATTAAAGCTCAATGCAAGCTCTACGGGGCCAAATGAAAATTGTTTACTAAAACCTCTCATAACACTCCATAATAGGGCCCTAATGCCCAAAAACCTGCCATTATTGAGTGAAAATGATAACGTCTGCCGACTAGAAAAAAATTCATATAAAATCAACAAATTGTGCTACAAGGTTGCATTAGATATTATATATCAAATTAAAGCTCTTTTCAGGCTCTGTACAGTGAATTAGTTTATAGAAAGAAAAAAACCTTCTAAACATTTCAGATATGGACAATAATGTGAAAAAAGTCATCAATATTGGTGCAGAAAATAAAGATTTCTGCTCAGGGGGTTTAAAAATTGGAATTAAATCAACATCTGTTCTACCGTGGTTCATCTTGTATAATATAGATCTAGTTCTAGATTTATTTATCATATTAGCTGAGAAAGAAACCAGTGGCTGGGGAAATACAATGTGTCATCGTGTGTCCAGTAAGTGGATGGAAGAAAGAGGGGGGGGGGGGGGGGGGGGGCATTTCTCCAATTAGCCTATCAGGTGACATCTAAGTCTAAGAATACACGTAAATAGGCTGGTTGATTCAATAATTGAATATCCACCAATCAAGAATGTAGATCTAGCCTTTTATGTTACCGAATTAAATGCCAAACAATACAATAGATCTACGAACATTTCCATCGGTAACACTAACACCCAGTAACCCCCTTCCGAGTGTTTAGTAGTGTGTGATGACATGTTACTATAAATAGAACTCCCAGTTCAACTCTTCATGGCTTTATTCTTTCACTTTGCCGACTAGAGATGCTTAGATTTCGATGCATTTAGAATAAATAAGGTGTTCTTAGTTGAAAAGACAGCAAAAATACCACCACAAAGCGATACATTTGTATAGATCGCAATTAATTCACTATGAGGTGGGGAAAATGTAGGTCAGCGTGATTCCCACCAAACAATAACAATCCAACCACACGGCAAGAGGTGGCCGATCAGTCTTATTTTTCAAAACACGATATTCATAAGTATCCTAAAAGAAAATTATGATAATACTTACATAAATTGACGCCATAAACAGATCTATCGAATGTTTCTTTTACTGAACCACCATTATAATCGTCTGCTGGTTGGGTCAAGTCAGAGGGGGTGGAAATGGGCGATGGAACAGCCGCAATGGCAGAATGACGATCTCCCGAAAGTGGTTGTTACCCCACTTCAGAAAAAGTAATATTTCTACTTCGTGGAATGTAGTTGGCTTTTCTAAACACATAAACTTGATGGTAGCGATGTCTAGGAATATGATCCTGGCATGGATAGCCCGATTTGTGTCGAATTTCATATTTTAAAATGCTTTCTTCGTCTTTACATCGTACCACTCAAGCTTTCCGCTCGGAATAAAAACATAGACACATTCCCCGGAAATTCTCCTGAAATCCCAGATTTTTATGTTTCAAACCGCAAGAAAATTCGATGATTCACGACTGAGAAATCGAAATTTAAAACAAGTACCCCCTAAATCTAAGTGCGCAAAATTGCGAGACGGCCGAGTTTTCCCGTGTTAAACTTTAGTCAATTAAAAACTAAATATGCAATCATAAGTATCAGTTCTCGTTCACCATGGAGAAGGAAAGACACAGAAAACAGGGGTATAATTTTTATTAGTTTTTACCACAGAATTCTACACTTAGGTGTAGAATTCTGTGGTTTTTACAAAAAATTAAAACCAGCTAATAATTGGATGAAGTTGTCCAAATCTGGCTCCAGCCGTAGCTGTCTGCCTTGAAAACGGCTCGCCTGCGATACCTACTGTAAGTCATTTATTTTAATGATCCTGTGAATGCATTCAAAGAGCTCTTTTTAATATAGGGCCCAAAGAGAATTTTTTTTTAAATTAAAGGGTCAAGATTTTTTGAAAAAATGTTTTGTATTTCTTCCCAACAACTTCTAACAGTAGAAATGTAAATCTTTAGCCATCCAGTGATGGAAGAAAAGATTGTAAGATTGTAACAGTGCCGTTATGACATGAAGGACATTCCTTCTGCAGATGCACTGATAATCGTCAAACATGGACGGATGAACGGTTTTTATTATTATTATTATTATTTTTATCATTATCATCATTATTATTGTTATTATCATTATTATTGTTATTATTATTATTACTACAGTATAACACGGATAGCTTGAATTCGTCAGGACCGGCCTTGGTAGTTTGAGGGATCCGTAGTTCCAGGAATATCTTACAAAGATAAAGACGGATGCATGATTTCTAGCTTTCTGTGTTGGACCTATCCGTCTTATAGTGTATATTATTTTTAATAGTATTGTAATTAGTATTAGTTTTTATTGTAAGTATTATTAGTATTATTATTATTATTATTATTATTAGTATTGTAATTATTATTATTATGATTGTCATTATCAGAATCCTTATTATTACTATTATTATTATTATTATTATCTTCATTATTATTATCATTATTATTATTTGTATTATTATCATTTTCATATTTACTTTTATAGTATAAGCTGAATAAAAAAGTAATCATATGTGAATTTGTTGAGAGAAAGAAAGAAAAGAAGAGGATTGTCAATTGTCATCCCCAGCAGTGTTCCCTGCCGTATGTGAGAGACAATCCCTGTGGTCTGAGGCCGGTCAAGCCAGTGCCAATATGGAGTCAGTATCTCACTGACCGCTCCTCTCTACCTGTGTGTGGGAAGAAAACTGTGGTAGGTGAGAATGTCAAAAAAATGTCACTGAATATATAATCGGTGTACATTTCTTGTGAGAATTTGCGGGTTTCAAATTACAACTATAGTTGAACCTGCCTTAATGGCCACCTGTCTAAGACAATCACCTGTACAAACGGCTACTTCCCACTTCCTTTCTTTGTGTTTTTCTGAATTATAATAACACCTGTCCAAGACAACCACCTGTCTAAAACAATCACTTTTCTCCTCAATAATGGGTGGCTGTCTTGGACAATTTCCAGTGTACTTTGTGAATTCTCGGGTATCCCAGGCTCTTGTAGATTCAGCACTTTATTCATTGGTAGAGATTACCGTACAATTTGTTCTTGAACTTCAAAGTTAAAACAAAATTAAACAAGGAACAATTCTGAAAGATAATGTTGCCATTTGTAAATGGCATCAGTAAGATCTTATGGTGTTGAAAAATTTTGAATAAATTCTTGTCCCATTTTTAATCCACAGAGCAATGAGATACTTCTAGTTTGAACTATCTGGTAACAAATATTTTACGTTGTGCCAGTCAGGCTTTCAGTTTTAGTTGTACTGTCCTTGAGTTATAGCCCTTGTCACATGGATCTATAAATGTTGTAATTCTTGGAAATCTGAAGCCTGTAAGTCCTGTATCTCTTCATAATGAATCAAAAGTTTTTATTTTACACATGTTATTTTATGTACGACGTGATGACCGGTTGTTGCAAACGTCAGAACCTGACAGAAATGTTCGACTAAACTAGTCAACAAAAGTTAAGGAACGTACTGTAAAAACAGTGATATATTTGCATGCATTCTTTCAATGTTTTACTTTTACTAGTAAAACTAGATATTGGTGAAATGTTACTCTATGACTAATGGGCTTGTACACACCAAGGTTTGAAATGCACGTGAGGCCTGTGCGATGAGCTGGGGAGGGGGCAAAAAGGTCCAATGTTTTCCAATTATCGATTTTTATTCTCTCGCTCTAACCATCCGGAAAAATTATGAACGCTCAAAAATCAGTTTTCAAATGCAAGATTCATGTCTCGTGAGTGACTTGCACTCGCTCATTTGCACTGTGGATACACCATTCTGCTGCTGTAGGGCTAGGCATAAACATGCCTCCTCGACAGAAATTGTCTGATGTAAACAAAGGACAAGCCATTGCTTGGGTACAAGATGGTGTTTCACTCCGACAGGTTGCTACACGTCCTCCAGTGTCTGTTTCTGTCATTTCACGGCTGATTCAGCGTGCCAACACCACTGGTAGTGCCCAAGAGCGACCCAGATCAGGTCGACCAGGAGCCACTAATGCAAGGGAAGACCGATTTATTCATAGACAGGCTCTGCAGTCGAGATCCGCTCCTGCAAATAGCATCCAGACACGGCTGAGAGCAGTAACTTGTGTTAACATTAGTTGTCAGACAGTACAAAGACGTCTTCATGAGTTTGGACTTAATGCACGTCGACCAGCAGTCCGTCAGCGTCTCACCCCAGCACACAAGGCTGCTCGTCTTTTTTGCCGGCGCCATGTAAGATGGACACGTCAACAGTGGGCAAACGTTCTCTTCAGCGACGAGTTCCGGTTCTCTTTGCATCACAATGACGGTCGTATCAGGGTTTGGAGGCGACCCGGAGAGCGGCTCCTCGATGCAGCCGTCAGAGAAGAGATGCCTTTTGGAGGTGGTTCCGTGATGGTATGGGGTGCTTTCAGTCTGAACCACTGAACACCTCTGTACCATGTGCAAGGGAATCTCACTACAAAACGTTTACCGAGATGAGATACTCCGTCCGTTAGCACTACCTACTCTGCAGCAGATGGGACCTCACGCGGGGTACCAGGATGACAACGCCTGACCTCATAGAGCGTTGCTTATCCAAAACGTCATGCAGCTAGCTGGCATTAACCTAATGGACTGGCCGGCCTGCAGTCCGGACATGAATCCCATAGAAAACCTCTGAGATGAGCAGCAACGTCGAGTCAGAGGCAAACACCCCCCTCCAGGAGACACGCAGCAACTGTTTCAGATGCTGCAGGCAGAGGGGCAGGGGATGCCTCAGAGAGTGTTCACCAACCTCATGAATTCGATGAGGAGCCGGTGCACTGAATGCCAGGACGATCGTGGTGGGCATACTCATTATTGAAATCATCTGAACTGTTTTGTTTTTGTTGTAGTCAGAAGTTAAAATAACTTCGAAACCACTTGACCATTTTGGGATTTGGGATTTTAACCCCTACCAAACTCAATTAACTTTTCAAGCAAGTTAAAATGGAATAACTTTATTTTCTTTTTTGTTACTTGCTATACACATGTTGATTAAAATGTGTACAAAATGTCATTGCATGTTGAAGTTTGCTTTCGAAGTTATACACTTTTTCTCCAATGTTCCTTAATTTTTGTTGACTAGTTTATCTGTCCGGAGAACATTCACAATGCTACCATGTTGAAGGGGACATCAGCGCTGCTTACTCAGAGATAGTCATCATCAGGATCTGTCGGTAGATTTGATTGGACAAAAGATGAAGCAGACATTATGTGGATAACAGAGTGGATCTGCGTGGATCAGAAAAAATCCTCATGTCTAGCTGATCCTGAATATTCCCTACTATTTTTTAGCTCATCCACAGTATTTTCTAGATGATCCCTATTATTTTTTTAGCTCTTCCCCAGTATTTTCTAGTTCATCCCTAATATTTTCTAGCCCATCCCCAGTATTTTCTAGGTCATCCCTAATATTTTCTAGCTTATCCTGAATATTCCCCATTATTTTTTTAGCTCATCCCCCGTATTTTCTAGATTATCCATATTATTTCTAGCTCATCCCAAATATTTTCTAACTCATTCCCAATAGTTTCTAGCTCATTGGTAAAATTGTCTAGCTCATCCCCAGTATTGTATAGATGATCCCTATTATTTTCTAGCTCATCGCTAATAATTTTTAGCTTATCCCCAGTATTTTCTAGGTCATCCCTAATATTTTTTAGCTCATCCAATATACTCCCCTTTATTTTTTAGCTCAACCCCAATATTTTCAAAATTATCCCTATTATTTCTAGCTCATCCCCAGTAGTTTCTAGCTCATTCATGATATTTTCTAGCTCATGCCCAGTATTTTCTAGAATATTCTTTAGTATCTAGCTCATCCCCAATGTTGTCTAGCTCATTCCCAGTGTTTTATAGATTATCCCTATTATTTTCTATCTCATCCCTAATAATTTTTAGCCTATCCCCAGTATTTTCTAGGTCATCCCTAATATTTTTTTAGCTCATCCAATATACTCCCCATTATGTTTTAGCTCATCCCCAGTATTTTCAAGGTCATCCCTACTATTTATAGCTCGTCCCCAATAGTTTCTAGCTCATCCTTAATATTTTCCAGCTCTTCCACAGTATTTTCTAGCTCATCCCTAATACTTTCTAGGTCTTTCAGAATATTCCTAACTAATTTTTTAGCTCATCCGTAGTATTGTATAGATGATCGCTATTATTTTCTAGCTCATCCCCAATATTTTCTAGATTATTCTTATTATTTTCTAGTTTATCCCTATTATTTTCTAGCTCATTCCTAATAATTTTTAGCTTATCCCCAGTATTTTCTAGGTCATTTCTAATATTTTCTACCTCATCAAGAGTATTCCCCTTTATTTTTTAGCTAATCCCCAATGTTTTCTAGAT